TATGCATAGATATGACATGTATAAAAATATGAAAATGATAATACAAATTTTGTACTAGGAGTACAAAAATATGTATAATAATTTTCAATGTAATTTAACACATATGTAAGTTACATATATTATTAGAATCTTGTTTTATTATGACAATTGGAATGTAATTTATAAATAGTAACAAAAGTCAGGGGGAAATGTTATCTCAATCAGGTGATGAACGATTAATGTTGATTATAAAAATATATACGACAGCAAACATTGTCTATTCACATTTTTCTTATATAATCATAACTAAACCTGCAGTAATGCCTTTTCACTTTCTTTTATTAAATCTTAAGGAAAAGAAAAGAATAAAGAAAATGGAAAAGGCAACCTTGATCTTGAGGGCATGAAAAATAATAAGAAACTAGAAAATATAAGAAAAAGGTCACATATATAACAAGTACAATAAAAAGAAGAAAGATATCAATCAGTACTAAAAAAAAAGAAAAAGAAAAAGGAGAGAGAAGGAGTGAAAGAGATTACGACTTTCTCTTCTTCGCCCTACTAGCCGGAGTAGGAATCATGGATTGCGTGATGCGGAAAGTCTTGACGATGTCCCGCCATTCCTTTTCTGAGATGGACACGATGCACTGGGAGCTGATACCGCCCACTGTTGCTTGGCCCTGTTCTCGCGGCGAGATCACTGGAATGCCATGCTCTCCTGTGGGGGTTGGGGTGGGTGGGTGGAATAGAGGGAGGGGGATTTGGGAATCAGGATAAGATGGAAGTTGAGGTGAGTTGGGGGTGGGTTGGGTTAGGGGTATGGCAAAGGGAGTCAGAATTGAGATGTAGTATGTAGAAAGGGTGGGGAAGAGAGAGAGAAAAATATATATATTAATTAACAAACTCAATGGATACGGGAGAAGAGGACGAAAAAGGGAAAGGAGAAGATGGACTGAGAAGAAAGAAATGAAAGGAATGCACATAAAGAGAAAGGACTCATACTTTATCTAGCATAATTTTTTCTCTCTCTAATTTTAACTATAATTCAATGTTTCATTATCACATTCTATTTTCAATATCTATTTCATACTGTCTAATAATTTACTTCTTATGACAAGTAGCGATCCACTGGCCACCGGCTTATGACCAATATATTGAAGAACCTTGCCCTGGAACACTATACAAAACTCCCTACCTTCCTCCACTACTGCGAGTTGTTCCCGTACGAGGAAGCTTGTGTGGAAGAGGTTCTCGGCTGTCAGTGGATAGCTGTCAGGGTTTACGACAAAGGAGAAGAAGCACACTGGATGGTTGCCGGACTCACGGTACCGACGGTTGAGGATCTTGTACAGTCGCAGCACCTCTTCTGTCTGCCGCTCTTCGCCACTAACTGCATTTGCCACCTGTAGGGAAACGAGGCCAAGAGGAAAGTTGAGAAAAAAGACTAAAATGCATAGAAGGGGGGGGGGGGGGATGACAGCAGAAAACATGGTGAAGAAAATAGCGAACTTTTAATACACAAACTACATGAATTTCCCCAATACCTCGGTGGGAGTTTTCTTCTGGGTCTCCTTGTCTTTCTCCGTAACTCTAGCTTTGCGCACAACCTTGGGCTTCTCCCACTCTAAGGCCCCCAACATGGGCTCAATCCCTATCGTTTTCTTGAAGAGGGAGGACACTGCTCTGCCAAATCTGCGGGGAATCGCAAAATTTATATACATTGACAAACGTAAAAAATTAATAACAAACAATGCAAATGTAATGAAGTCATGTATGGTAGAATCAGATGCACAATCAAAAAGTGGATGGAAAGCAGCCACATATCTATGCATAAATATGTACATATATATCTACACATATAACTGTATGCATATTTCTATTTCATGGGCCTATTATTGCAAGCATTATTACCCTCATTCACAATCACTATTTATATCATGAATACTGCTGTTGGTAAATTTAGGTAGGTAGGTAGGCAGGGAGAGAGAGAAAGATAAAGAGAAGAGGCAGGGAGAGAGGAGGGGGGAGAGAGAGGGAGGGGAGAGAGGGAGAGAAAGAGAGGGGAGGGGGAGGGGGGAGAGAGAGAGAGAGAGAGAGAGAGAAGAGAGGGAGGGAGAGAGAGAGAGAGAGAGAGAGAGAGAGAGAGAGAGAGAGAGAGAGAGAGAGAGAGGAGAGAGAGAGAGGAGAGAGAGAGAGAGAGAGAGAGAGAGAGAGAGAGAGAGAGAGAGAGAGAGAGAGAGAGAGAGAGAGAGAGAGAGAGGAGAGAGAGAGAGAGAGAGAGAGAGAGAGAGAGAGAGGAGAGAGAGAGAGAGAGAGAGAGAGAGAGAGAGAGAGAGAGAGAGAGAGAGAGAGAGAGAGAGAGAGAGAGAGAGAGAGAGAGAGAGGAGAGAGAGAGAGAGAGAGAGAGAGAGAGAGGAGAGAGAGAGAGAGAGAGAGGAGAGAGAGAGAGAGAGAGAGAGAGAGGGGGGGAGAGAGAGCGAGAGAGAGGGGGAGAGAGAGAGAGAGAGAGGGGGGAGAGAGA